CACCAAAGGCAAAAAACTATGATTATGAAGAAACCATTTATTGCATGCCATATATATATATTAAGACCAAAGTGTGCACTGTTTCACATATCAGGATACGGCTGAATTCAAGGCTTGCTCGTTTTACATGATAAATATTGGAAACAAATTTATCATATCTCTACCTGTCTAAAACTAAATGATTATTTCTCTCTCATCTGATCGAGATCGGATCAATCAAATTCTAAAAAGTAAAACAATTTTCTCGTACGTCACTTTTCTTGAATATAAAGGCAAGAGACATTGCGAGACAAGCCTTGCAAGCCATGAATATGGTGTACTCGGTTAGGGTAGCACAAGTGGTGACGGAGACAATGTTGCTTGTTCAATGCTTACCTAACATCTAACTTGGTCTGCGTCACTGAACTGGCGGCTCATTCGCTCGCTCAGATGAAGGGGATGCCTGCTTTTCCTGGCTCCCACGACCTGCGTTTCTGTCAATTTGTTGCCGATAGGAGCAAACACTTGTTAAAGCCGGTGAGATTTACATCTAACAGACCCTAGTCTATCCTAGTGCAAATTTTCATGTTTAACTTTTTTGGGTAACAAGCAGGTATCTGATTTGTAATATGTTACAGCTCGTAAGTTTATAGCTTGAAATTTTATTGTGAAGACTCGAGATTATCTAAAAAATAAAAATAAAAATCACTGAGATCGTTGAACATTTTTTAACTCTTCATGTATATTACAAGTCAGATATATCTTGAATTTTCAAAGGATCTTACAGTTCAACCGTAAGACCTTTTTAGAAATATTTAGCCATCATTTTGTCTAAAAGGTCAACATGCACAGTGCATTGGTTTGTACTTTTCTTTGCTTACATTATCAGCATAACAATTATATGATACGAAGGTTTTATTAAAAGAAAGAATTATTAGCGTATATTCGATTGGCAAATACGGTGTTTCATCTGCTCCTAGATTTTCATAAATGTTATATTCATGGATGAAACTCACTGTTTTTATCACAAGTATTACGTTGAACATATTAAATGAACATGATTGGAATATGGATCTAATGCATGTACTATCCAAACTCTTCGACTGATTGTACATATAATTTTTTCACGAATAATCCAATGTATTTAATTTTAAAAATATCACGCTTTTCATACTTTCTCAATACAAGGCTTATAAGACTTGGATGCGTAGAAGTCCATTATACTTCGTCATACAATATGAATCCACATTCGTGTACATGTTCACATGTTAATTCAACGTTTTCAACGCTAACCTGTAGAGATAAACGTTAGAATAGCTAATTTTGCAAGCTAGTGCCGAAAACTAGTTTCAGCCGAATATTAGTTACAATTATCTTAAGTGGAAACTCGCTGCAACGTTTGAAACGCATGCTACATGTTTATTATGTGCAACTCTATTAAACCTATTTTGCGTTAACATAACACCCAGACTGCGTTATATCTTAATATTGCTGAATGTGTATTTATGAAGTTACATTTAATTCTGCTGGATATTACATATATAAATGTACATATTTTTATCTCCAATCTTTTCATTCGCAAATTCAATCGATTGTATTTTATTCTGACAGATCCTGAAGCATAAAATCGATGGAATCAGGAGAATCTCTTCCCATCCGCTTTTACCATTATGTGAGTATATTTGTTGTTCTGATAAACGCACGAATACAGTAAATTTCTATTCTTCACGACTACGCTGAAATTACGGAAGAGTTTTAACATGTTTGTTATTCTTTTATATGGCGACATCAGACTTAACCGGATCGCAAGATGGTTCTGTATCGTTATGGGAGTGGGGACATCAGACGGCCGTCGCTACTCCAAGAGCACCTGGGACTTTTGCCAAAGTGACCCGCGTGCGATTCTCTCAGCACGGTAACAAGTTCGGCGTGGCTGATTCCGATGGCCAATTGAGTCTATTTCAAGTGGCCTGCCGAGAAGGAACGGCTCGACCATTCTTCGTAAGAATCTTATAATCAGTCTAAAAAACATTGAAAGTATCTCTCGGTACGTCTGAGACGGCTCGCTGTTAACACTATCGATTATGTTGTTTCAGACTTACCAGTGCCACAGTAAAGTGACCTCAGACTTCGTCTTCCTTGGCGCATGCAGTCTTGTAGCTACCGCGGGTCACGGCTCGGAAGGACGAAACGTAGCATTATGGGACACGTTACTTCCGCAAAACAAATCTCTTGTACAAGGTACGAATAATTTGTGCACATCATATATCTAATATGATTTAATTTGTTAACGAATAATCAGAATAATAATCCTTTACTCTTTCCTGTAATTACGGTGTGAATTAACGGTGTGATTGTGTCTCTTCAGGCTTCATGTGTCACGATCAGGGAGCCAGCGCCTTGATTCTGGCACCGCAGCATCAGCTGCTGATCAGCGGCGGCAAGAAAGGCGACATTAATATATTCGACGTACGACAACGGCAACAGAGGCAGAGATTCCAAGCGCATGAGTCGGCTATCAAATGTCTAGCGCTCGATCCGCACGAAGAATTTTTCGTTAGTGGGGCAGGTGATGGTGATATTAAGGTAAAACAAGTCGTTACCTCTTCAAACCGCGACTTCTCAATGTGAATTGCCGTGAACTCTTTCCAAACGGTAATGAACAAACATCTTGTCCACAGATATGGGGTTTGACCGTCCACTCTCTTCTCTACTCGTTTCCTAGTGAACATCCACGGTCTAGTTTCTTCAAAAACATAGGACAGGTACTGTAGCGTTGTGATTATCGATTACGTTTAAATGCGAAACGGAGATATAACGTAATCATTTGTTTTGCCAGGGCGTTACCCAGTTACATGTGGATTCTGCGGGTCGATTGTTTTCGTGTGGAGCAGATGGTTCGATGAAAGTCCGTCAACTGCCAGAACGCGATTGTGTAATACAAACGCTTTATTAGAATTAAAAAGAGGGGAAAAAAGTTGATGAAAAAGAAGCGAATACCGTGTAAGTATATTACGCAAAAAGAACCGATATTTATTGATTATATACATATACATAAATATGAAAGGCGAATCGTTAAAGAAATTCACGCAAATAATTGGATTGCTGTTGTACGATATATCCACTACTTTTACATATACGAACCGTGCAGGCGGTGCGATATCTCTTTGCATGGCTAGTGTGTTGTAACAAGCTTATATATCGGGTGTTACATTTATAAATATATATAGATATCGTTTCATCGAGAGCTACTTTATTGCATAATAAAGTAGTGAATTCCGCACGAATATTGTTGTTGTTGTCCAAAACTGAAGCTCTTATAGTCTAAAGTTAGTATAAACTCTAATCTTAGCGTCTCAAAGTGTTTCCCCGATCTAAGAGAAAAAAAAAAGAAAGAAGAAAACCAAAGCAGCGAGCAAATACACAAATAACTGTAGCGCCAAAAAGGCTGCGAAGACAGCACTGTATTTTCCCTAAAGTGGATTTCGTACGAAGCAACATATAATAACACTAATCGATCATTCCTTTCTCACATGAAAGTAATATTATACGATTCGATAAATGATATGTAATAATCTTCATGTACCTTCATATTTTAATATGTAATATGTATTTATAAATATTTATTTATAAAGATCAGTTGATGAATTCTATTGTTTATCGGCGGATAATTTAAAGATGATTTAGCCGACTCTTTCATAGCAATTATTGACCATAGTGAAACAAGATGTTTCTTTGTGTTAAATAAGAAACTGCTGTTTCTGTATATTATTTGTTGAAATAGAGACAGTGTGCGCAATGTAAGTTATTGTTCTGTAATATAGTTCGATAAATTAGTTCGAACAGGTCCTCATGTATTCAAGGTACTCCACTCCGATGCTTTTTCGTCATTACTACTATACGATACGATATATTCGTAAGATATGTAAAACACGCCGAGCAATTTTGGATAATGAGTAAAATACAGAGCTTGAAATCTGTGTTGCCTTCTAAACTCTTTCTATCTCTTTATCTTGAAATATACAATATAGTCCTGAGAGAGATAAGTGCAACGCAGCATAATTGCTGCAACGCGTTTATCTTATCGCATATGTATACATAATTATTTGAAATATATTATAAATGATGAACAAATGATATAGAATAATAGTCTCGAAAATTACTTTTTTTATATCACTTACATTTGTTTTAACAACTTTCAAATATTTCACAGATGTCTAGATAAATGTATTTTCCTCATATCCAGTTTGTTAATATCACGTGAATTGTGATCAAGCACCGTTCGATGTGAACTTGTTTGAAGATGTGTAACGCCATAATTTTTAAATTAGTATTGTTTCCGTCGCTATAAATTTTAGAACTTTTCGCAAGTAATTGTTGCAAATATAGTATGATTCTGTTATATAAACTATGTATACATAAAATTATAAGCTATAACAAAGGATTTATTTTTGTTAAATGCACTTGTTGAATGACACTTTTATCAGTTCATATATACATATACCTATATATATATATATATATATATATATATATATATATATATAATAAAGTTAAATTCGCTGTTTGATTTACACACAATGCACTTATATAGATGTTTGTTAATCTTTTGCACTTTATTTCAAAAATACAAAATCTTCACCATACGAATAATGCAGAAAGAATAAATAATTCATATTAATCGCCTAATAATTTTAAGCATCTTTCCGTCATGAAACATTATGAAAAAAACTTACTATATAAAAACAAAGCCAATATTTATACAATGCATATACATATGTAATTATGTAATATTTTATGTGAATTTTTATTTGAACCGCTATATACGCAGTCGATGGCATTGTATACTCGATTATACAATAAATATGTGCAAATTATAAGTATTGGAAATATCCAGCCTTTGACAATATATGTATACTATTCGTTATACGGATACTGTGTTATTGTTAAAGAAGATCACACCATAATACATGGTATTTTGCATAATAAGGATGGAGAATAATGGATGCTCGGAACACATATACTTGAACATAAATCCTTTATTTAGGTTTTCCATGAGCTCACTTTTTCGTATAGTTACGTAATTATTTTTAATATAACGCAGTATTATAAATTATTATAATATTAGAAAGTGAAACATATCTCTACTGATGTAATCATCGACGTAATATCCATATTCCCATAGAATATTCTTTTATGGGCGACAACGCTCCAAGAAACGCGGATACAAGCACACCTCGCGTATGTGATATCTGTTCAACAGCCAGCACAAAATTCGTTCTAAGCCCAATCCGTAACCGCCATGAGGACAAGATCCATATTTCCGCTGTAAAGTAACGTAAGTAATTATTCGATCTATAATATTATTCCAATTAAAATTTAGAATTTATCTTCTTCGTATTTACCTGGTCTGTGTACCAGTAGTACGGGGCCGGATCAATGTTTTCACGGCTGTAACCCTCCATCATCTCCTCATAATCCCAGATACGCATCGAACCGCCGACGATTTCACCCACATTCGGTAAAAGTACATCAACAGACTCCGTTAAGCGTCTATCCTCTGTGCAACGTTGCATGTAAAATGACTTAATTTCAGCGGGGAAACGACAAAGCATTATCGGCTCGTTGATAGCATCGGTCATTTTTCTTTCTGGCATTTCTGGAATGTCCTATAAAAGTTGATAATAATTATATGTTTTGTCTGAATTTAGATGATAAGAGAGATACATAAACTTATTCATACTTCTCCAAACTCATAAAAACTGCCATCTTCTTTTGTGATATTGTTTTCTCTTAGATATTCAATCGCATCGCTGTAGTTCATTCGCTTGAAAGGCTTCTTGGGCACTTGAAAGTTAGGATTCAATTCTTTGACAAGATGACCATACGGCGATTGTAGAACTCGTTCGACTACGTCGCAAATTAAATCTTCTAGTCGATCAAGTAGATCATCAAATGTGATAAATGCACATTCTGCCTCAATATGCGTGTATCTAAAAATTAATTCAATATTTAAAAGTTAATTCCAAAAAGAATAAATATATACCAACTTCTTTATAATATAAAATAATATATTTATTTATATACGAACTCAGCAAGGTGGCGACGTGTTCTCGATTGCTCTGCCCGATATGATTGGGCAATGCAATATACATCTCCCATGGCTGGAAGGCACGTTTCAAGATATAATTGAGAACTCTGAGTAAGAAAAGCGGTTTCTCTGAAAACAATGCTCAATTAGTTGACTCATAATTGTGTGGTTAATAACTCGGTCTATTTATTTACGCATACCCAAAATAATCTAATTTGAAGAGAGTCGAACCACCCTCTACTTGAGTTTGCACTAAAGTTGGTGGAGTCATTTCATAATAACCACGCTCTTTATAATGGTCTCTGAATGCTTGCATTATTACAGATCTCATAATCAAGATTTTTGATGTCTGAAATTAATAATCAATAACAATGATATAACGAATTTATCTATAAATCCAACAGAAATTATATTAAAAACTCTCTATAAGAGCATTAAAACTTTTTTTATCGTACATTTTCACCTCGAATCATTATATGCCTGTTGTCCAATTGTACATCAGGAAGAGCTTCTTCATTCAATATTGAATCGGCGCCACCAGGAGGCGATGGTCCAACAAGTTTCCAATAATCAACGCACAATTCGTGTCCATCCGGTGCCTGAAATTAAATAATAACATATAAACATACCTTATCCAAATGTGTAGCACATCAATGATTTAATATACGATATAAAATGTCAAATGTACATTTTTCCCTTCAGGAACAGCTTTCAAGACCCCAAACAGTTGAACAGCAGCTTCTGTGGCAAGAGTCAAAGCATTATATGTTTGACACAGCTTATCAGTTAGTACACACTGCAAAAAGCCTGTTCCATCCCGCAATGTGATGAACATAAGGGCTTTGCCTATAATAGAAATTGTTCATGAGTTTTGGAATTCAATAAATTATCATATTACAAGTATTAGAGAGAAACTTAATTATATCGCACCTTGTCGTCTTAGTCTATGCACCCATCCGTATATTTTGACTCTTTGATCCCTGTGACTAAGAGCTTCTTTTATCTTGATTTGTTTTGCTTCCGGCAGAGTCTTATCCTCTTCTATAACAATCGCTTTAGCCTCTTCAAGATTTTTCAATCTCTTCTCTTCATCCTCCAGCAACTTCTTCTCCTTCCCTTCACCCTTATACTGTTCTCTAACCCAAATCTTTTGTATCTTTTTTAACTGCGTCTTTGATGCTGGTTCATATTTCTTGCCACTTTCACGCGAGTCCTGGTAGATAATCGGAAAGGGTTCCTTATTGGCATGACGCATTGCTCTTAGAATAGTTTTAAACGGGTTGACCTCTGAACCATCTCCCGTCTCGTCGTTACCATTCTTGTCTGATGTATAGATACCTTGTAAAATATTTATTGCATTATTACATACATTTTCCTATTGCTTATTTACTTATTGTTAATATTGACACATACCATTAAGTAATGTATAACTTCATACTGTCATTTATATTACTATTCTTGGGTGCGTTTTGTAATGCATCTCTTATCCTTGTTTAACATTCAATGAACAACAAGAATAAGTGATGCATTATACGCATCATACGTGAAATAGAACGCGCCCCTTGTTATCATTCTTTACTGTAGCAGTTATCACTATCATTACATCAGTCTGATGCAACTTACCTGATGATATTACTTCCTTGGACATAGTGGCTGATAAATTTATTTGATAGAAGTATCACTGAATAATATATCCTATAAAAAATATCTTCGTTACTAAATTATAATCTTATTTTACGCTACACCGGTAACCACATGTTAGTGTAAATTTTTAATCACTACAAATATTGCAACAATATTATACACAACATAGTACATTAAATGCTGCACTAAAGCTTTAAATTATAATTTACATATTATTTTGAATTTATTATACAGTATATTTTATAAAGTAAATAAATATTCCAACTTACTCTCTTACTCGGTAAGTACTTTATCCAATAAAAAATGAACAAAATGCAACGTGTCGAACAGCTCAAGTGACGTTTAACAAATCACTGGCGGAGCCGCTAGCGAAACGGCAAAGAAATACTCTCAATTCTCAAATCGCACGTTCTGCAACAGTGCAGTGCAACGTGCAACGTTCTGACGCACCGGACGCACGTAAAATCAAGCCCTCTGTCGGAATAAGTGTGAACTATGGATTTTTTCGATGAGTTTTGGAACGCAGTTATAACAAAATATGGCAGCATCTTTTCTAATTTGCGTTCCAAAACTCATCAAAAAAGTCTATAGTTTACAATTATTCCGGCAGAGAGCTCCTTCTGGTTCAATTTTTATTACATCAGCGCGTAACTCTTTAAAAAAAGGTCTCAATCCTTCCACGAATTGTTTACAAATTCATCGAAGTTTAATAAATGAAAATAATATAAAAGTTATTAAATTTTAATCATTTTTAAATTGAACTAAATAAACTTTAAATATATTTAAATTATATAATATACGAATTGTATTATTTCATTTACTGAAAGTACATGTACAAGCCAACAATGCAATGTTATTAAACAATGTTATTAACAAAACTGATATTACATACGTATTGAATCATATAAAATATAATATATATTAATGTTTGCTAATTATAGATATTCATATATTTTATTATAAAGAAATTATAAATCTAAATGTTCTCAGATACATTTCATTTTTGTAGAAACTATGTCTTTCTGCGAGTCCTGCTCTTGACGCTCTGTTCTGGCGCGTAAAATGTAATACACTAAAATATAAATTCCATATTATTTATGACACATGGTCATATCATAAGTTAAAGAAAAAAAAAGGAAACGCACCTGTTGATCTAGAAAGCTCATGAGATTAGAGAGCTTGCATTTAAACCCACGTGTTTGCAACATAGAACGCAACTGTTCAATATTTACAGGTTCATACTGCAATATTTTGTTATATAAATCTGTATCAATATTGATTAATTTCATAAAGGCTTCCGAGATGTCCGATGAATTCTCCAATGTCGATAATGACGCGGTTTCGTAAAACAGCATTTCTTTGTTGATTGTTCCTTTTGCGGAACTTACACTATCATTGCTGCAACAAACATAATGTTATTTTGTTGTATCTAAAAGTAAAATTTCATATTGTTAAAAAGAGAGAGATCTAATATTTACATTAAATTTACCTATCACGAGAACAAGGGAATTCATCACCACTGTCTTCTGCATTACTCGACTTTTCCAAACTGTTATCATCTACGTTTCGTTTTTTCGATGGAGGACCATCGTCTTCATCGCTCGAAATTTCAGTAATTTGCTGTCCTATTATTTTTTCAGGCACTAAAGGATGAAGTTCGTTATAAATATGCGTTAACAATTTTACAGCTCTGCTACGTTTTTGTACCTTTAATCCATATTTCTTCATTTCTCTCTAAAAATTAACAATTCCCTTGTGAAAAAAGAAAGTACCTTTAATTATGAAAATTTATCATTGTCAATGAACTTACGTGTAATTCAGGAGTGCTCATGTCGTTGTACTCAGGCGGAGGTGTAACTTCTTTATCAGTTATTTTAGGCGTTTTTGCGTTTCCAATGTTTTGAATGTAATTACACTGGAATTGCATGGCTACACGTGTAGATGTAGCCCCTTGATTACATAATCTATTTGTATCAATCTGTCCCTCGGATAAAGATTTTCTTTTGAATTTCCTAATGCTTGTAAAATTTTGAGTCAAAGACGTAGCATTACTATCTAAGTTTCCATCTGCTGCTATATCTTTACATTTGATATTTTCATGATTATTTTTATTATTGCGTTTGCGTGTAGTAACATTTTTTAATTCTGACATACTTAATACATTAAACGATTGACTCTTCTCCAGAATATGTGATTTCTCATATTTATCAATATCAACGTTTGCAAGATATACGTCGTCTTCAAAATTAAGAGAAAAGTTGATTGACTTTAATTTACAAGCACTTGTTTCTGAGACATTTTTGGTACAGTGTTCATCTTCAAGCAAATTTTCCATATTTAAAATCGGACTGCAGCTTTCATTATTTGAAAAATCTGGGCTGGAGGATAGCATAATCGGGCTTGAAACGGATTTCTTTTCCTGATCATCATTTAATCCAGATTTTTGTGTCATAGACGTTATCTCTGTAATATTTAAATTATCTAGATTTGATTTAGTTGCGCTTTGATTAACATCCTTTCCTTCTTCCGTGTTCATCGCTTTTGAAAATTTCTCAACTTCGAGCAATTGATTGCTGTTTCTATTTTCTGTATCCTGTTTGTTGTTATCTTCTGTTTCTTTTTTAGACTGTTGCAGAGCTTGAGATATATTTTCATGGTTGAAGTCATCGTTTTCTGAGACAACACTGAAAGATATGCTTTCAACATCTGTGTCTGATGAAACAATTATATCCGCATCTTTTTGTGTCAAAACACATCGAGTCAAAATTTCATCTTTCTCAGCCTCGCTGATGTTATCTACATTGATCGAATCAGATGACGTACTTTTATCAGACAGATTACTATCCGACTTATTTCTACTGATTGCTGTGCGATACTTTGCTATGCTATTGTCCTTGTGATCTCTCATGTATTTAGAATACATAGAAATGTCTTCCTCTTTCGTTTCTAAATCAAGGAAGGTTTCGCTAAGCGATTGATTCATTGTTTCAGAACGTTGCGAACATACACCTGACACAGTTGTGACTTGATGCGAAATGTTCACGTGTTTCTCACTTGGTGAAGTAAAGTTTTGTGTACAATTCAATATATTATTATGGGAAGATTCCATTATCTTCTCAGGAGATAGAGAATCTATATACGAACTATTAGTCTGTTTAACATCTTCCACATGTTCATTAGAAAGACGAGGATAAAATTCTGGATTTTTGACAGCGTATGATTGCATATGTTGCTCTGTCATAGTTAATCTACCGGGTCTTTCCTTTGTATCAATCGACTGTTCATTGTTGTCGTACGATTGAAGATCAGAGTTATCATGTTTGTCTATATAAAATGGATTCTTCTGCCTTATAGGAGATACTTGTACAATTGAGATATCTGTAAGATTGTCCATGTTCGAATCTGATGCCTTATCTAATTTCGCGTTTTCGTTCTGAATTTTTTCGATAAATAATGTGAGATTACTTTTCTGTTTAATTATTTCTGAAAGACCATCTTGGATATATTTCGATTTACTGCTTTGAGGAGTACCAATTAAAGAATCTTTATGTATGTCGTCTATAAAAACTTTCAAAGAATTTGATTCGGGATCTGGATCAATTTCCATTAGACTTTCTTCCACATTTTTCGAACAGGTAGGTATGTCTTTGTCTAATTCTGAATATTCTGCGTTCTGGGTCTTTAATGATTTCTGACTACAGATATCAATATCCGCATCTTGTTTAATCAAACTCAGTAATATGTGAATATTAGAATCTTCAAGGTTTTTAGGATGTATTGTGGATTTATCGTTATGTTTCATTACAGGCGTGTCATCGAACAAGTCAGGAGATCCACTAGTTTCCCATTTTACAGGTGTATTGCTTCTGGAGTTTATTTCCTTTTTCATTAAAGCAGAATTTTCGTCTTTCAACACGCACAAGTTCTTTGGAGATATGTAATCGTTTTCAAGAGAATGTAAATCATCATTAACATCCCCCTGCAAAAGCATGTTATTAGGGCACTGAATGCCTTCCACAACATCTTGCGTACGATTCGGTGATGCGTTGAAAGATTTGCCTAACTTTGAAATATTTAAAGCCGTTTCCACATTTGGATGTACATTTTCTGTATCTTTTTCATAAGTATTATAATCATATTTAACTTCTACGCTAGATTTAAATCCCTTTTGACGCAAATAAGCAAATAAATCATGTATTTTGTACTTCCTTCCTAAAGCTCGAACACCAGATAAAGATGTCTCAGAATCAAGTATTTTTGAATATCTATCGATTATCCCACAATAGACAAATTCCAGAAAGGCCAAGGCAACATCATAATCTGTATCAAGCCAACAAATCTTTTCTTTTGCAGTAGGGAACTCTGTATCATTAGAAATTACATCAAGTAAAATATTTGTGCAACGTGTGTAGAAAACTAATTTATGCGTCCATATGTATCTGCCATTTTTCACAAACAAAATAATGTCACTTGCAGAACTGTCATTAAGCATATTTCTCCAACTTGTTGCTAGATCGTCAAGGAATTTCTTTTCTTCACAACATATATTGACTGTATTTGAAGAGATCGTTAATGCTTCATCCTTATCCGTTGTTTTTACAGTATGTATTTCCTTTATTTCCTGCATTTGTTCATTATCCAAAAATCTTTCGTTCTTTACACTTCTTTCATTTATTTCCATAAGCTTTACAAGATTCTGCTCTTCCTATAAAGCATAATGCCATTATTATGTGTTTTGTGTATAGTATTATAAAATATATAGGTAATTTGTATGCCCCAATACAATAGAGTCAACTTACATTTAATTTCTGCTCTTTCTTTTCTAACGGTATTATTTGAGGCGATAAATGGTCTACATAAAATATATCTTGAATTAGAATTAGTTTTGTCCTATCCCACAATGTATTCTCCTTAAAAATAATAATATACATATTTTAAAATCTGCAAATGTTCGAATTGGAAGATAATTTCTACTACATAAAAAAAAGTATAATTACAATTTTATGTAATTGTTGAAGTAATTGACTCTTTATAACAATTTTCTCTTTAGCGTCGTTAAATTCTTCTGTTTTTTCTGTTTGAGATTTTTGAGTAAAATCCTTATATCCCATAAGTATCTCAGCTATTCTCTCTGTTAAGATACGTTCTCTTTCTACAGCGGTACGTCTTTGCAAAATAGTTGGTTCAATAAGCTTTCCTTTTTAAACAAGAAAAAAAGAAAGAAAAAAAAATCAGAAACTAAAATATAAGTTTCTTATTAGTTGTGAGATTTATCAACTGCATCAGTTAATATATAATTACTTTTCCTAGTAGGTCTTCTACTGGTAGGCCAATTATTTGTTGGTAACGTGTTTCTACTGCTACTAAACCCAAAACTTTGCAATGTCGCTTTCTGAGGACATTCTGCATTATTATCTGGCATCGATGGATTAGAGGATATGGCCACGATCTGAACTTCGTCCCACTCTTCCATTTCCTCTTTTTCACATAGAGATTTGGAAAGTGCTAAAGCAAGCTGCAGATCAGGGTCATCACGCGATGCCTACAAAAACCATCATTTAAAAAAAGCTAGTCTAAAAATATTTATACACATTGTCTTGCTAACAATTTATTCGCTTAGATTCTGAGAGGATTATCTCAATTAGATTTCAATCAAGTTCCAATAATCTGACGATTTAAAAGTCATCATCTTGATATTCAAATTATTAAATACCTACCATTTTACGTGGGGCAGGTTTCTTCTTGTCTTGTAATAGAGGAGCAGAGAGTAGCCCCAACGACTTCCTTTCTGCAGCTTGCCGTTCGTGCAGCTCCACGGCGTCCATTAACTTCTTTGTGGACACATTATTTTTTGTAGCACAACTTTTCATATGTACAGTTTTCGAACTTTCATCTTTAAAATTTTTTAAGCACAACGGGCATACGTAAGCCGTTTTCGCATTTTCGTCAGTCGAACACTGCGGTGATTCTACTTCTTTCTTTTCAGATTTGAAAAAAGACGATTCGATCAATGGTTGTTGCACATCGCGAAAAATCTTTTTATTCTGTAATGACTTTTTGCTCCTGGATTTCTTTTCATTGTTAATATTTTTAGATTTAGAGCGGAGTACTTTTTTCTTGGCTTTATCTGAAAGTGTATTCCTAATTTTCGACTGTAAGGAATCCGTTCTTTTTGGCGATTTAAAATCCAATATACTGTCATCATCACATGGAGATTGAGACGTACAAGCGGTATCATCCTTGTTTTCATTATTGGAATTATCAGAAAGTTGAGCCTTATCTATGCTGAATAAAAAAATGTTCTGTTACTTTAGATATTTTGTGCTTTAAATATCTTATTAATACAAAGAATGAACATGTTTGAGAGATAAAAATTTAACAGGAAGAAAGAATATAATAACAAAACCATTGTAGGAAGTTTTTCTTACACTTTAAATGTATTTTTTCTCATTATATGTTTTCAGAAAGGTACATGTTACATTATAAGTCAAACTACAAAAATGATCAATTTAACATTTCACATATATATCATAATACCTTTCTTTATAATTTTTCCTTAATCTCAATCTTCTCTGCGAACTACCAGGCTTACAGAATCCATCCTTTTCAACCTCCATTATTGTTGTATGAACTTTAAATGTTTTGTTGTTTAAACATCAGCTTGCGTATCCTTCGATTCGGCTTCCTCTTTCGCTTTAGCCTGCTGCCTCTCAAACAGCTTTTCAATAGTGCCTCTCAAAAGTGGAACTGCAGAATAATCTTCTAACATAGATCGCTCGTCTGCGGAGAGTTGTAGGGCTTGATACTCCTTTATCACTTCGGGATCAGAACAACTGCAGAATAAAATTTAGCATTAAAATGAAGTAGGAACCTTATATCCACCGAACGAATTAATTAAACGTTAACAGATGTTACACCATTAAATTAATTGGAACTGAATAAATGAATAATGCAAATCGTAAAATTAAACGTCTGCAGAGTTCAAGCCAGTATATATATAAAAAAAATATCCTACTGTCTTCTATAGGAAATGTACATCGCTCCAGCGAAACAAAGGGTTATGAAGAGCGATCCGAGTCGAATATATCTCTGCAGCGGCGTGTTCCTGAGTTGGCGTGGTTTTCTGTACGTCTCGTCCGTGGGATCGTGAAGCATTTCACAGAGATCGTGCGAAAGAAGGAAATTAAAATAATGCCAGCGTGAGATCACAGGCGGCAATAATTCCAGAATAGGACGTGACTGTGGCTGTGGCCGCTGTGGCGGATAACACTAACCTAACCTGACCTGTTTTCACTATTTCCACGTTCCATCGTTCATCCAATCGAGTCAGCATCACGCAATTACAATTATATAATCTATTTATTTATCATTCGATTAAAATATCTGTACTGAACATTAATAATTTTAATCTGTAAATCTGATATTGATCTTCATTAACAATAATATTCGAATCTGTGTTAAAATTATCGAAATCTTTTAAAATTATTGCCTTCAGTCCATGTAATGTGCATTTATTAAAATAATAAGAACATGTATCAAAGGTTACTTCGTACTTTTATTGGCATAAATCAGTTCACATAAATGGTATATGTTCGTATATAACTCATCTGTGCTCGATAAAAAATCTGCCTTTAACCAACGACATTCCTCGTGCAAATTTATAATAGTGGAATTTATAATAGTTGTACGATATAACTTGTATTTTATAATATCGCTTATTTCAAGTTCATTGTATCACATTTCACAATATAGAGCATTATGTCATTTAAATGCATCTCTCGAGTTCACAAGCTTCGATACATTTGATGCATCTTAGTTATACGCAATTCACATGTAACGCACGAAGAATAAGTAAATTACAATATAAGATATCGATATCGTTAAATTGGTAAGACAGCTAATAAACAGACCATATTGCACTTTCGACTCTCCAAGCATTTTTGAGATTGAAAGATAGACATAACACAAGTATGCAAATACAATACTTATATAATACGAAAATAACATATAGGGCAATCATTCGGACGTATTATACATCTCTCAAAAAATGATTGAAAAGAAGATAGCAACGGCATCTTTTAAACGATAACGTAATTCTGTTGGATTTCGAATAGACAAATACTGCTGGCCGCTGTTTTCCAAAGGTTATAAACTTATAGGAATCCAGTTAAAATACATGATCATATATCAATTTCGTATGAAATGTTGTCAAGTTAAGTAGTATAATGGGCTAAATTTACAGCTATGTGCATCAATAATGTGGAATTAAACTAAATTCATCTAAACAATCTAAATATGCTTTGGTAGAAGCATGATTAATAATGATTGTAGTTAAAATTAAAGAAAATGTAAAGCTTCACATGGAAGTCGGGGACCAAAAATTCATCTCTCTTAATTCCGACGGTTTAGCTTCGAGTACATTAACATAAACGGACGACTTATCCGCCGATTTTTCTTCCTTTCCGATATACGTAAGATTTTGCGAAGATATCGACTTCTTTCGATTAAGTGGCTTGCGGGGTTCCATGTCTGGAAAGAGCTCGTCTTCCTCGTCTATCTTTGTAATGGCTTCTCTGGATTGACCTAATATGCTCGACAAAATCCAATTACCCTGATATTTTTCTTTATCCGGTATGAACGCACCCGTGAAGTATCGATTAGCGTGAATCTTCCTGCGTGATTTTGGTGAACTATCAGGAGTTCCCGTCGGCGATGCTAACGGTGACGCTGGTAACGACTTGCTGACGCTTTTCACCGAATTCTCCGACTGCTGGGAACGCGAATCCGATGTGAATACCTTGGTGAATTTACCAGACATCATTTGACTAGCTACATGAACGATCGATTTGCCGCAAAGAGCCGGTTCACCATGAAAACCGTCATCTGTCCCTTGTGACTTGGGCTTTACAATTCCGCTCGTTGAAGCTTTGTGCGTTCTGATATCACCAGCTAAAACGATATCGAAAACGACAAGTATTAGTCAGTGTGATATTGCAGAAGAATTGTATAAGACCTTTGACAAATATACCTTTATTTTCAACTGGTATAAACGGTTGACATGGCAAAGGGTGTTTGCTAAAATCAATCTGCTTGACCTCTTTCAAATCGGAAATGGATTTTTCATTCGCTATCTGGTTCGTGGAGCTCGCAATATTTTCATTCAAAACCTCATTTACGATGTGTTTCAATCCGTGTTCTGGTTGAGTATTTTGCGATCTTGGATATCTTGCATAAAAGAAACTGTCGTCGTAAGATGGAGGACTGAATGCGGCTTCGTCAAAGTCAAATCTGAAAAAATATATAAAATTACATTAACACAGACTGTAATAATAAACGACTGTTGTCATTAACATAAATGACACATAGATTGCAACGCTACTTAGATCCCTTGATTAATTTGACAGTTTCTTTGTATTATTAAAAATTTCAAAACTAAATTTAGTCAAAAATTAAAAAAGTACATTTTTCATTAAGACAACAAATATCATTAAAGGAAATAAAGCAGATTCACAAGAACAATGGAATAAAATATAGGTAAACGTTTAACTATAAATAACACATCAGCTAATTTGGCAGAGTCCCAAATACGTGCAAATAACGCAATAACAATTTTAAACGGACATCTCAATATCACAGCTAGCTAATTATATTAATCGTTCGAATATACCGTCAGCGTCGTAACAATATCTCCATAAAAATGTGTTCAATGATAAAATTTATGAAAGATAAAACCTACCTATTGTCCAGTCTCCCTTTCATCCATTGTGGCAATGAAATTCCACTACCGAGAGATCTGTCTTGCTGTCCCGAAGTACCCATCCTCGTGCAAATTGTTTTAAACCCAAAAACAAGCCTGAATTCTTTACGTTAATTAACAATATACGAATACACAAAATGACATGCCAAAGGATGATGCTTTGTTATCCATATTACTCTCGAACAGCGAACAGTTGGTATACGTGTTATTGTTTGTACAGTTGTATAACAAAAAATTAGTAGCAGCACTCCAGCTTTTTTTTTTAGAGTTTCCAAGTTACTGTTCGACTGATCTGCAATTTGTCAAACGCGAAAGGATACAGAAAGATCTATTATTAATATACGATGAGCACAGACGTGCGAGATGAGTCAACACTTACTTTCCTGTTAGTGTTTACGGATGAAATTTTAATAATCTTCATAATTACAACCTGCTGCCACTGTCGACGGAAATAGCAATAAACCAGCGCAATATTGATAATAAGATTACGCCATGTTGATAATCATAATGGCTGACACAGGCACAAATGGCTGCTGACGGCGCACGCGCACGATGCGCCACTGTGCAGCATCCCAGCGTTCCAAAACCCTATTTTGACAACTCATGGAATGCTCACACACCATGATACTTGCGTAAACGATGTTTACTACGCTCACATGCTTGTCACGTGAAATGATTAAGCTCGAAAGTCCGATTATAAAAGGAAGAAGATATTAAGGAGGAAGGAAAAATTAAAAATCTCTTTTTAAGTAAATGAGAAATACTTTATGGCATTTAAATGCAGCATGGCAGAGGTGGCAGTGAATTTAAAATCCGTTTGCGACAAGATATCGTATGCTGCCGCGAAGAGAGCACCGGTATTCTTTTCCGTATTTACTATATAGCACTTACTCTATTACAATTAAATATACAAATTTATCTTTTTTTTTTTAATATATTGGATAGTTGTACAGAGAACGTCGCATTTCGAAGCTCAACGCGAAAAGGTTAGATCTTCAACAAATTTGTCTTGTTCTTGCAGGAGTATCAATATTATGAGCCGCGACTGGTAGCTGTTAGCAAATTGCAATCCACGGGATCGATAGTATCTGCATACGAGGCCGGTCAGAGACATTTTGGTGAAAATTATGTGAACGAATTGGTGGAGAAGGCCTGCAGCCCCTTGATCGTTGAAAAATGCAGAGAAATTCAATGGCATTTTATAGGGACTTTACAAAGGAATAAGGTCAACAAGGTGTTAAGTATACCAAATTTATACGTTATAGAAAGTGTCAATAGCGACAAACTTGCAAACACGCTCAATAATTCATGGCCAAGATTTCGAAAGAGCGATGACAGCAAGTTAAATGTCATGGTACAAGTTAATACAAGTCAAGAAGAAGGTAATGATATTTGTTATCTTTTATGTTTCATGTAAGAAACTTATGAGACAAAGTCATTGTTAGCTTAACAAATTTTCGATTATCCTGTATAAAAATAATTGTAATTACAGAAAAAAATGGTTGCGATATTGCACAAGTATCAACCCTTGTAAAGTATGTCATAGAGAACTGTCCCAATTTGAAATTTATGGGATTGATGACGATAGGAATGTATGGGTATGATGTTGCGAATGGGCCAAATCCTGATTTTATTTGTTTAAAGAAATGCAGGGAAAAGGTGCGCGACGAATTGGGAATCGATATAAAAGATATTGAATTATCAATGGGAATGTCCAGTGATTATGAACATGCTGTAAGGTTTTAGGACAATCAATTTGCAAATAGATTGTATTGCTAGTTGATTTTATGTCTTTATATAAAATACATTATTTTCTATTACAGATTGAATTAGGCAGTACAAATGTGAGAGTAGGAACTTCCATTTTTGGAAGTAGACCACAAAAGAGTAATTGAAAAGATGCAATATAAATAATGTATTAAATCAATAATTTTACCTCGAGGAAAAAGGATATATAAAAGAACAGGGATGTAATTATCTCAGAGATATGTATGTACAATGAATGTTCCTTCTGCAGCAAATACAGTTAATTTTTTTCTATTCTAAGATTATGATAATCGAATATTTCCTCTATTTTAAGATCTTTCCTCAATTTTCGATCTCATTATGATATACAAAATAAACATATTATATGTTCTGTCCCTTCGCTCATTTTATTCTAATCTGATTAACAAATGTAAGTGCTAAAGGAACCTCACAAAAGAACAATTCTGATTTAAAGAAAAATAGCTGACTTAAAATATAGGAAAATAGAATAGAGAGAAAATTGTAAAAGATAAATACATATATGTATACATAATAGATATATACATATGTATTATAAATAAATGTACAAGATGTTGTGTAAAGTGTTAATTAAGATCATTAAGATGTATCAGAATTAAATTTATTACTGTTATATATTATAGTAATAACTAATTATCTTATTTTTAATTACGTACGATATAAATCTTGTTAATAAATATATGTTAAATAATTAAGTTTTAATTTTTAATTTTATAAATTAAGCATATATTGCAATGAAATCAGTGGTAGCCTAAAATTTTATCAATTATTTATAATTTAATAGAATTTAAAAACTATTGACTTTTAGAAATTTGTACAAGGATATTTATAATATTACTATACTCTTTTTGATCTTTCTTATCTTAATCCTATATAGGTCTGCAAGGAATTCTCTCCTTGCCTTATTCCTTTTTTGCATATTTCTAATATAATTAATAAATTATAACATAAACTTGGTATAGAAACTTTAAATGAGTAAAATCCATAAATTAATAGAAGATAAAACAAAAAAAGACTGTTTTTTAATACAATTTTGATATCTTTGTAGTGGGAAATTATGTACATTTTGAAATGAAGACTTGTCTTTTTATCTCTTTATCTTTATTAAAATTTATTCGTAGATTTATGTTAACTATATATCTTAGCTTTTGTTTTTGAGAATACTATATAAATTCTTCCACACTTCTTTCTTAATCCTTTCTACATAAAATTCTATAATTTTAATTTATATAAATATAAAAATTGATAAAAATAAATAAATCTTGTAGAACTTATTAATTTATTATGCGTATAAAATTGATAAAAGGGTGTGGTCCAGTTCCAATCTTCAGCCTCATTATGTCTTGCGAACACATATGTAGGTCACCTTCACCGTTTTTTTTTTACAGGAGCATGATTCAAATGTATCTTGTGCAAGGTCACGAATTACGCAAGTTAAACGCTCTTAAAAGTTATGGAAGTCAGTCAGTCAGTCACTTTCTTCGCAAAATCACAGGCCGTACGCAACATTGTTCGCCCGATCGATCAAAATTGAAGCTATGTTTTACAGAGATGCGAAGAATAAAAAAAAAAGCTTACGTGACGAAAGTTACTAAATATTTTGGGACAAATTTTCTGCTGCAATTTCTGTTCCATGAAATTATGGCGGAAATCAGTAGCTATTTAATTTTGGAAGATATAGCTTAGTCTTTTAAAATGTGTTTAGAACGATATTACGTATTCTTCGATGTTAAACACATATAATTAGGTGCAATTTTATTTGCAACCGGCGTTTCCAAAAAATCTAAAAAACTTTGTAAGAGATAATATTTTCTGGATTCTAGAAAAATGTCACAATTATTTCTAAAAGTAACGTGAAATTTAAAAGATATTTCTCGTGAGTACACTTTTCTTAAGTGCCCCTCCGCACATGTTGCAAACAACAACTACGTAAGAAAAAAATAAGTTGCCCCTATAAATGTTAATAAAGAGACGGATCCGGTGCAACTTGACGTAAGCTTGCATCAGACAATCGTAAATGAGGAGATTGGTGCATACTATGTAGTCTCTGTCGTAATATTCATAATGCGAAGCACGAGACATGCATCGACATACATTGCAGTTTAACATAAATTTAAAAGTGACATGGGCAATCAAGTTATATGTATCATACATACTTCGATATGCGTGTGTATGTAAGCAACTTTGCAGTCGATATTGTTATCTTTCTCATGATTTAACGAAATAGAATTCAAATTTATTGATATACAGATGCATTTTTTTTTTGCTTCTTACATTTTTTTACGTTTTAAAATAAATAATAAAATTATACAATGTTATCGTATTAATTGTGTTCTCATGGTTCATAAGAAAAGATAGCAACTATATGTGTGCAAACTTGTTTGATACACTATCGAAAAAATTTTTAAGTGACGGTACGTAAAAAGTATAAGCGGTAGAACTTGAATGAATCGATTATAATCGAGTATTCTCGAGAATTTAAATTTAATTTTTAAAAATATATGTAATCATATATCATCAATACGTACTTGTGATTCTCTTATAATTTAAGTTTTGCGTTTTTAAATCTTTTATCAATCTGTACTACAAATGCAATGTGAATGTTAGTATATGAGAAAAGTTTTGACGTATATTGCAGAAAGAAAAATTCACCTACGATTTCTCGCTTCTGATGTCATAGTGGAACACGGTTGCACCGAGAAAACAGAAGCCGATTAATACCGATCATCGAAGGCGGAAAATGTATTCATGGCTTAAGATATAAAACTTTACTACTATGTGATGCAATAACGCCTTACTGTGAACATAGAATGCATACTCGTACAAAGAAGTTTTTGGGAAAAAATGCACCACGCACACTAGACAGGTTTTCTGTAGCATGGGTATAAATAGGCTTAGATTTAGACAGAGCATTCAATCCATTCTTCGTGTTTCAACGGGAAATAGGAAAGCATCATGTTCAAAGTAAGTTTCTTCAAAGCAAAAACACTTCGAGATTACTATTTGTGTAATTCATATTCGTCATTTGTAGAAAACTGATAAAAGTAATGAGGCTTCAAAAGCTAAGATTACAGATTATTATATTTCTGGAATTATTATAATATTTATATTAAATGTAAAAAAAGTATGTATGTGTAACTTATACACCGCATGATTACTAACTTTTTAATTTCAAGACAGAACGCACGATTATCAACATATAAAACTAATATTTCTTATTTTAAAAGAGACTGGATATATAATCTGAAACAAGACGAATTTAAATAACATTAATATTCCAGATATATAAATAAGACATCTCGAAATTTATAAAGTTCATGAAAGTAAATAAACGTTTTTAAATCTTGCAGCTCCTGGTGATCTTCGGCCTTTTGGCCATCACAAATGTCTACGCCGGCTTGCTCGCTGCACCGGCTATTGCTGTGAAACCAGCTGCCGTCGCCATCGCTCCTACTGCCGCGTGGGGTGCTCCTGCCGCCGCGTGGGGTGCTCCTGCTGCCGCGTGGGGTGCTCCGGCCGCCGCGTGGGGTGCTGCTCCTGCCGCCGCGTGGGGTGCTCCTGCTGCCGCGTGGGGAGGTGCTGGTCTTGGACTTAAGCTAGGCTAGATTTTTTTTTACGTTCAATGAGATATAAGAAACCCGCCGCCAATCCACCAGCAACTACACATCGCAGAATTTACCTTGCCCTTAATATTGGATATACAATTCGCTGATGCATCTCTCACTTCTCCCTAAAGTCAATCTTCACAAAATTGTTTTCTTTTTCTATTAGGACGTTTCTTCCCCCATTCCTTGAAATTTGTTGACAAATTATTGATAAACGCGAAAAAATATGAAATAATACAATTTTACATATAAAAAAACTTGGGTGTTATTCAATCTCGCAGAAACCATTTTACCCCCGGCGCAGCGGCGCCTCTATTACAAATTAAACTCTATCGTAACGACATGTTGCGATAGCTTCTGCCGTATATCATCCCCTTATGATAATTAAGAAACGAATAGACTTATGGATCTAAGGACTATGGGGGTTGAAAAATCAAGCTTTGATTAAGAGTGAAGTACAATTTTATTGCGTAACCACCTACATTGTAGTGTCATTAATTTGCCACGTACAGAAGTGGTTACAGATGTCGAGGATGTTTGAATAAATATATATATATGTATCATGTAAAGTCGCGTTTGATATGGATCGATTTAGTAGGCATAGGCGATTCCGATCGGGCTGCTGTAGCTCATGTGAGACACTTCAACGGCCGGCGAGTAAGCGACTCCGAGAGCAGCTGGGCGTACTGCCGCCGGTAACGCGGGTATAGCGGCCGCGGCATATGGCGCATATGCCAATGGGGCTGGATGAGCAAGATGAGCGTAGGTAGTGACAGCCGGATTAGTCACGCGGATGTCGGACTTGCTCGAGCTAGAGAAAGGCGTGTCGATGGTCTTCGTTTGCGTGGCCACCTGCGCCAGATTACCGTGGCTTCGTAGAATATTGTCGGATGTCGACGTGATAGCTTGGGGTTGAATGTGCGCTATCGGGGCGAACGGCGAGATCTGGTACGACTGGTACTGCAGGGCGGAGGGCACACCGATTAAACCGGCGTTGGCCGCGGCCAAAACACAGGCGATTACGAACAGCTGAAATAGAACTCTCGGTTACAATTTGAAACCTTAAGAGCGCAAATTTATTTCTAAAAACATTATGTATTTCCTATACTTGACAAAATCTAATTTGTGATCGTACGTACCTTGGCTGCCATTGTACTATGCGTGGAAGATGCTGCGATGACTTTAATCGCGTCTGAGTCGAAATACGAATGCTACAGTCCGTGACAATCGGTACTTTTATACTTGGCGGACAAACGACGAGCCACACGAAATCTTTCGGTACTCACAGTTCGCCATGGTGGGATATAGTGTCAAGGATATACTTAATATTGCGCCATTGCCAAACGCCTTTACTCCCCGTTGAATCGTATGCCCTTCCGATGATTTATAAGTTCCTAAAATGTTTTTTCTCGTATATAACGTTTTGCGAGATAATATTAAAAAATTATCAGCTATTTATCTCTATATATTTCTCACAATATTTAAATTTTATAAATTTCAAAACTCATTACTTAATGCATCGCTCTTGTGAGAGAATGCATTGAATTTCTAAAGATATTACGGTTTAAAGTAAAATTTTGAATTTGTCTAATTTTTTTTCATACGACTTAAAGCAAATTTTATTTATTAATCTTTTATATTATCGCAAATGAGATATAAGCAAAAGAAACGAAGGAAAGCAATATGGAGAACTTACTTCGTATTCTCTCTTTCAATGTAACGTTTCTAAATCTAAGATTTCAATTTTTATTTATATTGTTGTACTAAAACATTACATGTGTGAGTTTTATAAATCGATTGGTGCCACACCTTCGTCTTCAAAACTGGAACATCCGGCTCGGCCACGCCTCTCCGAGCGGAAAGTAGTCTAGCCTTGTGTTCCTTCTCAAACTTTTTCTTTTGGGGCGTAACTCGTTACAATTACATTTCATTCGGTATTCAGGAAACTGGTATCACCAACATTACTGGCATCTTAATTTTACGTAAATGAAGATAAATCTGCTTCTTTTTCCAATCCTGTATGAATTCCTGATACGAATTCGAGATGCGCTACGGACGCTGAAATTTTATTTGCGAGCGAATAATACGGGAAGATTATGTGTATCATATATAATATGAAAGATAAAGATATAAAATTTATCCAAATATTAAATGTATAATGTAGATTTATTTCAATTAAAATAAGCAAATAAAGATTACACATTCCTTTTTATTAGCTATACATCATCAATTCTATTTCAGCTTAATTGCACTGAGCACGTGCCATCATAGAAATTTTTTGCGCCTTCTGCACTATGTCAGGGCAACGTCGTCGCCTTACTAATCTGCAATCTTGAAAGAAACCTTCATTTCTCGGAAATCCATGCGATCCATCAGCATAGGTCACCAAACCTATAGTTATCGAATAAAAAGCATATATAACTCACATTCGAATTACAATTGAAAAACAATGTGTAGTCCAAAAACTGTAGTATTTTATTTATAAAATTGATAATAAATTATCGTAACTTGATTATATACCTAAGCCCCAAACACGACCTCCACGAAATTCCCCTTCAAATTTCATTCCGTCGGCTCGCCAGAACACACCGTGGCCGTGAAACCATCCTTGCATAAATTCTCCCTCGTACCTAAAAGAAAAAGAGAATGGAAGTGATATCGTAGAAATATATATACATATGCGCGACGGTATTTTTTAATAAAACGCGCAATCTCGAGATAAACTTGCAACGTAACTTACTTTGCTCCGTCGGGAAATACAATAACTCCCAAGCCGGAGCATAATCCATTTTGAAATGCCCCATCGTACCGCGTTCCATTCGGAAGGACTAATAGACCAGCGCCGTGTTTCAATCCCTTGCGATTCCAATCACCGATATATTTCGTACCATCGTCATACTTGTACGCACCACTCTTTGCCACACCTGCAGACACGCGTATTTGATATAGAAGATATATTCAATAAGAAAATCAAATATTCTATTTAATAAAAAAAATGCCTATATTTTTTCAATGTTTTGTACATAATACTTCAATTAAACAAATAAAGTAAATGTTACAATCGCATATTCTTACCGTCGCCCATGCCTGCGCTGCACTGAACGCATCTGAGCTAGCTGGAGGTCTTAATCCACTTATAAAAATCAATTCTTTATTCAATTAAGAAAGATATCTGGGATAGACAGGCGTAGGGAGATGCTCAGGAAAATATATTGTGGATTAGATATGTAAATAAAGACAATCGCATACAATTTTATAGGTATAACATGTTAATATTCAGTAGTGAGAAATTTACATTTTTTCAAAATGTATATAAAAAGTAAGGCAAAAAGATATTTTATAAAATCATATTAGATGTATCTATACAGAACCGAACTGCGATATCGTTCATTCCTTTGACTGTTCTCCAGATGCACCCACTAGATACCATCGTATTCTCGTTTCCACCGCAGCCTTCCTGACTAAACGTTTGCGATCGTCGACTAACACCCCCAATTTGTCTAACACACTCTGCTTGTACGGATTGATCAAAATAGTGGAATAACTAGTATAATGCGCCAGGCATTCTAGAGCCGCAATTCTAACACCCTATTAATACAAATATAGATTATAGCGATACGATGAGAGTTTAAAAAGTTGAAGCTAATGTAAATAATTACCATGATCCGATGCGTTGATAATTGCATAAGCCTTGGTATAACACATTGTAAATTATCAGAAAATACATCGTGTTTAGTGTCAAGTAGAAGTTTAAATGACGTCAATGTCCAAAGAACTAAATGCTCATTACTAAGAGATAGAGACTCAATCAACAGCGGTACCAACTGACGACAAAATACTTAATTAATTGAAATATTCTTTCCATTGCAAGAGAATGTTATCATTGATGCATTAATAATAAAAACTTACCTCGGTTAAATGCAAAAATAATAATTCTTCAGGCATTTGTTCTAGTAGATGGACCAAAGCAATAAGATAATTCTGTCTCATCGCGCTTGCAAAATTCATATTTTGTCGCAACAAATATTCGAACACTCTTTGTTTATAAAAAATTTTCACGTCGCAGAAATTTTCCGTTATTAAAATATCCTCGTGCTTACTTACTAAAATTTGATATTGTTCACCTATAAATTGACCTATTTCATTGTGAGTTAATAAGTGCGTAAGCTGTAAAAACAAAAATGAGAAATATTAATTCACCTATATTATCTGTATAACCAAATATTAAATTATTATAATTATATTTAATCACACATACATTCTCTAGAAAGTATTGGGACTTTGCGTATCCTCTCATGACGAGTGCTTTAGTCATCCAAATTTGAAAGTTAACCGTACGTTGCTTTAATTTAATGTCACTGTCCGTACTTAAATTATTACTTATTTTGTCTTCTAGATAAGATACAATTCTATCGACATCTGACACTTTCATTTTATTTAATAAAACAGATAGAATTTTACAGCTTGTTTGCCTTATATCCGGATTGCAATTGCTAGTTGCTAGATTATACAGATTTTCCACCGTATTATTATTTATGTTCAAATTGATATCTTTCCGTAAAGAAATGAAAAGATTCATCATTATAGTCACATCAGTTTCGGGAATTTTCGTATTTAAAGCCACAGCGTATTTCGTTACAATCGCACGTTGTTCTTCGATTGTAAGATTTCGTATAATTAACTGGCAGATATTAGATATCAACATTTTATGATCAACATTTGTCTCATATGAAATTAATTTATCAATAATATGGCATTCCTTGTATAGAAATTGATGTATGTTGTAATCAGATTTCTTTAAAGCAATTAGCTTCTGGATATTCAGTAATATTGTGATACGTATATCAGTATTAACAGTGTCTGTTAACATTGTAACAATTTTCGGGAGTATTACACAACCTAGTTCACGTATTTTTGCAATTGCTGATAAAGCTTTTATCCTTCGTTTTAATAATTCTACTTCCGTCTCATCTGAAACATTTCGTCAATATCACTTCATATATTCATAGAAATAAGTTTATATTAACCATGTATTTGTATTTAACTTACCTGTATTCGACAACAATCTCTCTTTAACTAACACTGATATTTCTTCAAGATATAACGCAGCAAAATCTATAACAACTGTATGACATGTGCTTTGTATTTTGTCGCATCCTGTTTCAATTTCATTGCATATCGCATTATATAATATAGAGCGTTGTACATCGTTTAAATATGCCTTTTGGATCATTAAACCAAGGAATATTTTACTTTTTAGTTCAGTACTTTTTATTGTCAAGCCATCTAAATATGTTTGAGGTATATTTGTCCATGATAATTCTGGAATATCTAGAAAAAATTTCATTATATTTTTATGTAATATATATCAAATATCAGGATTATTACAGTTCAATAAGCAATAGTAATAATGCAAATGACATCATTATTCGTTGTTTCAACTTACCTTGAATGCAAATGTCGTAATTAGAACATATTTTCATAAAATTATTTAACGTTTCTATCAATGCAATTTTGTCGTTTAATGAATTCATCGTAGAATATTGTCCAATACATAAAGGTATTACAGCTTGCAAGATTTGTACACATATCGTTTTGTTAATTGCAGCTATTGTTTCCAGTAGCGTTTGGGCAGGTCTGTACAAACTAAGTTGCACGTCGCACAACGACGATTTTATATCGGCAATTATCTTGTCAATAAAATTTTTGCAAACAGTTTCATCGACTGATATAACTTTAATTAAAGATGTCATTGCTTGTAAAGCAGCGTCTCTTATTTCAACATCTCTCCCTGGCACTATATCTTTCTTTAAAGTTGTCCATAGGTCTGGTAAGCACAATTTTATTTTTAACAGCCCAAACGTTTGAACACTTTCACGTAATAGATTTAAGGAATCGAGTTTGGCAACTCTGAGAGTGGAATATGATTTGTCAATTATAAGAGGTAAGCAATAATCTGCAAACTGTGGAACAGCGCATAAGCAAGGCGCCAATTTTTCTGCCAAATCTTCCCGCGATACCCTTAGATCCTCCATGCCAGACTGTAAACATTTATAAATTACACATTTGTTATGTTATAAATATTATGTAAAAAAATAAGATAGAAAAATAATTGTATATAATTACAGGATTAAAATCAACTGGAAAATAACATGCCAAAACTTCAAACATTTCTTCGGTTAAATGACCCAATGGAAATTCTTTTAAAAACTGTGGTAGCATATCAAACAATAACACGAGGTTATTCGGATCTCTTTCACCATCCATAGAACTGATAATACCATAAACTAAATCTGGTCCCATGGATCTCAGATCATGTAATCTGTTTTCTATTAAACTCTTTAGTATAAGATATATTTTGCGACGTTCAGGTAACAGTTGAGATTGACACTGAACGTGCTCAAACATAACTCTTAGTAAGGATGACGATGCGTTTTGAGGTAAATGAGTCATGTTCACCTAAAAAAATGAAAACAAATAGTTATGACAATTCAATGAAAGAGAAAAATGACGCAAGAGATAAAAGACAAATGCTCACAATTGCTTGAATACCATTTAGTACAGATGGTATAATGCTATAATGATCCTTCATCCTGTCGCAATAAAACGTTGTAATAAAACGCAATTCTGATTCAGTGAGATAATCTTGGGGCAGCTGCGACAAAACGGAGGAAAGGGCCATAACTCCTTTCTCCCTCGTAAGAACATTTTGGTCTGTCATGTAAGAACCTAGTGTCTCCACAAACGTGCAGAGTTTCACAGAACCTAATTCTATTTCTGAAACAAAGCATTTTAATGTCTTCCACTATATAATTTTAGACTCTAATTTTTATGATTACGTGCATTACAAAGTTTAGATTTCAATATACTCATTAAATCAAGAGATATAACAGTGATTGTGGGAAGATTCAAGTTTACATAAAGTTCATATAAATATGTAGTGTGCAAGTTGAAATTATCATATTTCTCTAGGTTAGAGAAATAATAAACTTAAGAAAACCAAGTATATTATTTGACTCCCAAGCTGTATTTGTGTATAAAATTTAATTTTTGTATCTTTCTCTCTTTTTTTACTACTGGTTCTTTAAATTTTGTAGCATAAGTACATAAAAAAATATACTTTACAAGACATTTTTATTTTTTGTAAAACACGTACCGGAAGCTAAATTCCTGCATAATGAATTTAGAGCTGCCGTATCTTTGAAACTAATATCTAATCGCTCTTTTAAATCAAAATTCGGAGACGAGGCCATAACCAAAAACTGTTGTTTACACGAGACATTCAGCACATGATCGAATCATTCTTCTTCTTCTTCTTTTTTGTAGATGGCACCACTCGAATAGTGCGCTGCGCTCTGTGCGCTCAATGCGCTCCGTACTCCGTACTCCGTGCGCTTGTATTGCATTTTGCATTATTGTGCCGGGATCTATGAGGTGTGATCTTATCGCGTCTAATTTTTGCGTTTCTAAGAACTAACAACACCTCACGTGCACACGCCAGTGTGTAATTACGTTTATCAATGCTCGCTGTATTTTGTATTTTAATTGCAGTATGTTGAACGTCGTGAGGTATCATACGAAGATATTAGGCGCGTATAACGCAACGAGACGCATACTTAGCCGGCAACACCTGTTTACAAATGCAAAAACCGACGTCGTGCGATGTAACGACGCTTCTTTTAAGGAATACTGCTCGAAATTGCTATTACAGAAGGTAACGCACTCCGACACTCAAGTATACCTGCTGTGCGTGTGCAATTTAAATAAGTTTAATAAGAACGATGTCAGATGTGTGTACTAATTTTACTGATTTTAACAATTTACAGAGACCACTGAAACAAGCGAACGTTGTAATTCGTAATTATGCCGCAAAACCGAGCAGTAGAAATGACAAAATTGTGGGATCTTGGTTGCTCACCTGCGGTGGCATGGTTTTCGTAGCGGTCGCACTAGGTACTCTCATTTATTTTGTATACTATCACTATATCTGCGTCGTGGTGAAGAGCATTATAGAAAAGACGTATGGAAAGTAGAATCTAAAATGTGACAGCCTTCTCTTTGGTCTAATATATCAGTACCTACGTGCAATTCAAATTTATGTAACATTTAATTGTGTAAAACACATTAAGTACACGTTAAAGTGAATAAAATGTATTTAAGAAACAACTGAAGATTATTTCTCCTTTCTTCTATGTATTTAGGTGGTGTAACAAGACTCACCGAATCAGGCTTGTCTATGGTTACCTGGAAATTGCTGGGAGAGAAAATGCCTCTGAACGAAGCTCAATGGGTCTCGGAATTTGAGCGTTACAAACAATTTCCTGAATATAAAATGTAAGAAACAACGTGTTAATACCGAAGAACCAATGTAACGCATGGAAATGTATTATATATGCCGTTAATTTTGCTGTAGAACCAACCACAGTATGACGTTAGAGGAATTCAAACGTATTTGGTGGATGGAATATTTGCATAGAACATGGGGACGTTTAATCGGCGCTGTATTTGTAATTCCGGCAACATATTTCTGGTATAAGGGTATGCTAAAACACGGAATGAAAATGCGCGTTGTTGCCTTAGGATCGCTAATCGGCTTGCAAGGACTCATGGGATGGTATATGGTCAAATCTGGATTGGAAGATCGTTTTATAGAACCTTCCGACGTGCCGCGGGTGTCGCAGTATCGTTTAGCTGCGCATCTTGGATTAGCATTGCTCCTATATACTGGATTTCTTTATAATGCTTTGGATCATCTGATTCCTGCTCAAAAGCTAACTGCGAATTCCTCTAGTACCACAATCACAAGTAATGCCCTGAAGGCACTGAAAAGATTTAAAGGATTAATTCACTCAACAAAAGGGCTAGTATTTCTCACTGCTTTATCGGGAGCATTTGTAGCTGGAATGGATGCTGGCCTTATTTATAATACTTTCCCAAAAATGGCAGATAAGTGGATACCCGATGATATACTTGCCATATCTCCTGCATTACGAAACTTCACGGAAAATCCAGCTACAGTTCAATTTGATCACAGAATTTTGGTAAGTTGTCTAATACGGTCGTTAAGCATGTTACTGTGCCTACATTATTTCATGTGTAATATCATTTATGCAGGGAGTCACTACTATAGCATTAATAACTTGTTTGGGAATTTTGTCTCGTAAACATAAACTTCCTGGTCGAGGAAGAAAGGCTGTGGCTGCGGTACTTTGTGCGGGTTATCTTCAAGTACTTTTAGGAATTTCGACTTTATTATACCATGTTCCTCTATCGTTAGCTGCGTCGCACCAATCTGGTAGTCTTATACTTTTAAGTACTATAATTTGGCTGTGCCATGAGTTGAGATATTTAGGAAAATTTGCTAAATAAATTTGTAAAATAGTAAAAATAAATATAAATACAGATTTATGACATTTTTACAGATTAAAAATAAAAAGTATTTATTCACGAAACAAACGTAGTATTTTTCTTACTTATTCTCACGTGTTATAACTTATAATTATCTTATAATTATATCAGTATAGTAGGATATAGAGTTTTTCAATGCTTTCATAACGTTTTCGCGCTTTATTTCACAATATATGTTATAATAATTAGTAATTAATCTTAGGAACTATTATATACACAACTTCGTCTTCTAAACAACATGTATATTATCAAACATATGTAACACGAAATAATTTGTATCATTTTTTGTGTAATTATGATCAGTTTAACGTTTACAAGATGCGGCAAAATTTCAAAAAATATCAGTGCGTAAAGATCGTGAAATACATACGCATAACAATTGTGAAATATATGCGGAACAAAATTTAGTGATTCAATATCAACTCAAACAATTAGTCTGAAATATATATTATCCCTAAGCGAAAAATAACTCTTTTATGTTATCAGAGATATAATTTATTATTTAACTCAATTCTTCAGAAAATATCTTTACATATAGGGCACTTAGTCTATTATGGCCAATTATTTGTTGATTTTAAAATACTTCGCATGCATTGGTCCAATACAGTATTATTAATATTAAGTACCATTTTTATCAGGCAGTTAAAATTACATTTCATTATTGTAACAATTTTTATTTACATAAGAGTTATTTTCTTCCTTTCCTATTTTGGCGACGTTTGACATCATACTTTTGCTTAATATTAAACTGAGCGCTAGTATTAATAGAACTTTGTATCTTATTATTCGATACGAAAGAAAGTATTATTCAAAACGGCCAAATTTTATACTAATTATTGTTACATATAATCTACAAGTGTAAATATACGTGAATTATATAATCTAAAAATCTTATTAAATATCATTTGAACTTGTTACTATATACTTGTGTATAGAGCATACGTTTTGATGAGAGAAATATAATGATTACCGCGCTCAATTTTTACCATACAAGTTGTATTGGTATTTCTTTTATAATTTGGACACTTTTAAAACTGTCATGAAATAATTATATCTGCTAAGCTTAATATCAGTTTGATAAAAAGATTTATTATTATTGTGACTCTTCTGCATTGAACAGTACTTAATAATTAATACTACATATTAATATGCGTATAAATGCAATTTTACTGATTATAATTTCTTTATAATTCTTGAATATATTAAAGTCTCTTCGTCGCCTTTTTGTGAAAAAAGAGATTTTCACTTTATTGACATCTTTAGAAGAAAAAAGGAGATTGATATCGTAGCTGGCAAAATTAGGTACCAGAGCTATTAAAATATTAAAATTTTAATGAACTAGTCGAAATTGGGCAGTGCAGATTTTTAAATTTTTATACGCACAATTTAAGTGATACATATAAAATACAAGATTATCATGATTAAATCTTATTCAATAATGATAATCATTGACTTGTTTGATGCAAAGCATTCTTTGAGAGAACTCTTTATCTCTGGTATATACAATATATGCAATATATGCATATATAGCAAACCTATTGGTTATATAATTCGTAATTTTGTTTATGTGAGATAAATGCAAATTTACCCTTAGTCTTATTATCATAATTCTCTTCTAAACGATTCAGTTGCCAAAATCTTATTCAACATCTTAACTATACTTACAAAACAATGTTAGGCCTACAAAAATTTAGATTTTTACGAGAAGATATAATGTGAGTACAATAATTTAAAATTATTTTGCTATATAATATGTTAGAGACAATTGGTGTATTAAAACAGAAATATTAGTTTATTGAAGTATACGTATTATAAGAAACTGAAATAAATTCTTATATTATTTTCTTACGTAAAGCTAACTCGTGACAAATATTACAAAGAAATAAGTCAATAGTTGCAAATAGAACATAGAAGATCGTTAAACGAGACCTAAGTATACATATAGTACTTTGCAATGAGTATTATATTTTCTTTTTTTTTTTCACTATTGTCCATTGAATATAGTTATTCCTCTCGTATTCGTATGTGATGCAATGACAATGACACAAATAGTTAAAAAATTACCGTTTCCCCTATTTTGCAAAAGCAATATCCTATACTTTATATAATATGTATATATATAAAGTATATATGTATAACGATATATATTTCTTCTATTATAAAATATTATCTCACATAATGGCCGTTCTGAGTTTTAATGCGTAATTTAATATGTCACTTTTAGTGAGTTTTGCAATCATAATAAAAGAAAGATTTTGATAATGTGAAATTGCAAAAACTTACGCATTATGAATTATAAAAAAATAGTATGTTCATATATATTTGTATGTATATATATATATATATATATCTTACGTAAATATAAATAAATCATTTCAGTCAATTTTCTTGTTGCAGAAAGTACATCATATTGAAGAAAGCCGAATTTATAAAGATATGCTTTTTTTATTCTATTACTATTTTCTCTCTCTTTCTCTCTTATTCTTACATAACTTTTTTTTACATTGTATGATAACGTATATGGATAAATATATGATACAGTGAAAATTAATTGCACTTAACTCGCGATTTCATTAAATGGAGAAATTCGTAAATAGAAAATTTTGTTACGTCGAATTTATCCTAAAATGATTTATCACTCGTGATGATTATGACAAAAAAAATTAAAAACCATAATATTCTTACTTTAATATATGATTAACAAGTTTTGTTAACAAGCGTAAAAGTATGCTTATTATTGATTGCTGATTGAAACATACTTTGTTACGTGTTTATGCATGTTATCAGTTCAACTAGTCTTCGCCGAGATGTTATCTGATTTCTCTGGATTTACAATTACTTGTATTATGTAACCTGGCTGTACCTTCGCTTCTTCTACATGCATTTTATCACCAAGCAATTTACCACCAAAGAACCACCTTTGACGCGAAGGTTCCAAACCTTCTTGACTCTGTAAGCATCAATCATCATTATTATTATTATTATTATTATTATCATAAGCAATTACTCTTATATAACATATGTACATTCAATTAATATATAATTAATGTTATACAAACCTGTAATTTTTTCTTAGCGATAGCAATAGTGTCATTGCTGTAAACAGGTAGTTTAACTTCTCCTAAAGTAGTCGATAGTCTAAGTTTTAAAGTTTGTTCTGTTCCTTCGTCGACTGGTTCTGCACAGAATTGATCAAAGCAACGGGATAAAAAATGTGTGCTGTAAAATTATTATATTGCGTAAAACTCTTTGAAAATTTTAATTACCTGAGCAATCAGCAGGTGAGTCTCTTCCACTGTCTTCTTTTACGATATTAATTGGGTAGGATAAGCAATAAATAGGTACTTGATAACGAGTTCCTAACTCATCGTAACATTCGGTTAAGAAACCATTTGGTACAGAAATGTTAGCCCCGTCTAATATGGCCTGTGCCAACTGATAATCCTGCGCCTCCGCTGCAGTCGCACCTGCCCTCAGTGCATCCCAAATCTCCTTACGGCCGTCAAACGCTGGTGCGGTATCCCAAAACTCATCTCGCTTACTTCTCAACTGACCTTCGGTCAGAGGTACATCCGATTTCCATCTGATTACCTCGTGACATAAAAGATGATTTTTTCTCGTATTCCCTATACATATATATAAATCGTTTCAATCACAGAGATTAATAGAAGTCCATTCAAAAAAATCGTCACAATCTCTTTTGTAGGGAATACATATGTACGTTTCTTATCACGTATCGCATGTGAGACCGCCTATATCTAAATAACACAAAAATCTACGTTACGACAGTAGATGATCTAATCTCTTAAGTGCTCTTTACACGTTCCTTTTTTTTGTATCATTTAGACAGTCGTATACTCAATATTCATTACAAAATAACATTAGATAATAAGAGTACCTAGTCGAGTAAAAAAATTTGTGATAAAAAAACTTAATGAATTAAAGACCGTTAGAGAAAGTGTCAAGTAAAAATCAGCCATATACGTCCTTATAATCCACACACGCACACCGCCGTTACGTCGACACGATATTACTCCAAACTTCCATTTTTGCAAACGCCGAACTTAACTAAGCAGATACGAACGATACTAGACTTTAACAGATAACGTGTACTTCGGATACAAGGACAAAAATAAAGTTAAAATGACTTCAAGGTTAGCTGATGCCCGATGTATTTTTCGACAGACGAAGATCTTCACGGCAATCTCACCCGAATTAGTTCTGCTCGAGTTTTCCGACGTATCATTGATCGAGGCATTTCTTGCCCTCGTTATACCTATGCAGCCTCCCATTCTACACAACCGGAGCGAGTAAACATTTCACTAAAATTTAATAACACTTCGCATGCCATTTTCTTCCATCTTATCCAACATTATCCAATCGAACTCCTGCCGTGGCCATATTGCATATATACAGAGACGAGAGAAGACCGTAGCGCTCTCAGCGCTCTGAATTTCTAAAGTCGGACGTGCCCGTCCGCTGGCGCCACTTCCTTGCGCGCAAAACGTGGACGTCGAACTACGTAGCCAGCCGCGAGTATCAGCAAGTATTTCTAATCCCAACGGGTAATACAGTCTTTGATTCTGTTCGAAAATAATTTCATCCTATGCGTCTTGGAAACTTGAAACTTGAAATGATTTCCTATAATCGTTTGTGGAATTTTGTACGAAATTGTTTATAAGCAGTAACGCAAATTCCTAAATAGATACATATATAATTTATTATTTTAGCTAATTTTATATTGTTAACAATGTGCGTCAAATATCTCTTAAAAATAATCGCAATTGCACTTAAAATTCCATTTAGTAATTAGTCTGCAATAAATAAAAAAAATTACAGTGATCGCAACAAAATTACATACAAATTAGATTTTAACCTTTTTAGGGCCAGATATATAATAATATAATATACCAGTTAATGTAAAATATAATTAAATAATAGCCGGCTTTGTGTCATTACTCCTACGAATATGGTCATGATAAAAGAGATTATAGATTATATAAGTGAGGAATGACGAACAATATCAACGCGCAATATTGCAGAGCGTTCCAAATGGATCAATACGAAAATGCGCGCACGTCCGTTTTCCTCGTTCACCCTCGCAGCTTGCGATAGCTTGCAGATGACTCCGGTGAGCTCGACCAGTAATGTCCACCCCGGAGAATTGTCGAAGGTATTGTGTATTATTGGCAAGATAATCTTTTATTCGTACTTCAATATAACACTTATCTTTATTAAAAATTTTATTGTCAGAACTCGAGTTTAATTATGCTGTGATCCAGTGGATCCTGATTCGTGAGAGCGAGCCCGCTCAGATCATCATGATGGGAACCAGATATGCATCATGTAATTACCAAATATATTTATTATACATTACTTTCTGTCTGTTAGAGAAAGAAATAAATGTGATATATAATTTGTACATATATATTTTTTTTAATAATAAGAGAGTAATATATTCATCTTCCAACCAATTTTACTAAACAGTAGTATATTCAAGTACAGAGAAACAATTTTTTAGAAATTTTATCTCATACAAATTTTACATTTACAGACAGTCTAAAGCTCGCTAGTCTACACGACGCTTATCAACGATTACTTTATGGGACTCAACCAATACCTTCCGGCTTGGACATCGCAAACATATTGAAATATTTTTCTCAAACCTTGCTATGTAAGTGATCGGTGTACAAACGAACCGCGTTGTAACAAACGTATGCTCTCTTCTTTGTATTATAAAAATTCGCGCTATTGTTTTCCAATATAATCGCTTGAACAATCTATCCGGCAAATGCAAATATAACTATAAAAATTTTTTTATAAATTATTTTCAGGTTTGTTAAAAGAATCATCCGTGTCGCCGTTCGACATGATCAAGTCGCAACAGCTCGACGGAGAACGAATGGCGTTATTCCCAAATTTGGATTACAAGCAGCTTTACAACGCGTTGACGCAGATGATCGATGTCGTGCCGTTGATTCACGTCGGCCTGCCAGGTTTAGCTTCGTCATTCTATCATTATTAAAATGCTATTATATGGGGGTGTAAAATTAGAAGTGTTATACTTATATACTTGATCTCTTGACTCCAAATTCTAAGAAGGATTTTATTGCTATCTCTAATAGTTCCCGAGAAAATAGTGTGTAAGACTTAATTCTACGTTCTTTGCATGGTATAAGTAAAAGACGAGTAATATTTTAGTGTATCATTTACTTTCGTTATGATTATAGACGATTACTTATAATCCAGTAATTCTTCCCGCTCTCAGAATATCCTTGTCAAGCAACCCTTAATTCTATGCGTGTAATAAGTATAATTTACATTCATTTTTCTAGCGTTCGGGAAAGCCTTGCTACAATGTCTAGCGTGCATGTTGCTGTTTCTCGATCACGATTTGATCGACAATTTATCGTACTTAACTGCCAGTACGATATCGGTACTTCCCGTGGAGCTACATGAAGAAATCGTCAATTATCTCTGTTTTCACATTTTACCGTTCACCATCAGTGAGTTTTTCCGTTACATTTATATTTCTATATGTGTTACTTGTACTTGTATATTATATGATAAGCACACATTCACTCGTCTTTCTAAGAGAGAATAACAGCTGCCGGGAGAGAATGTGAGTGTGGAAAGAAAATTTTAGTATTTTAGGAGCTTTTCCGTTAAATGAAAAATCGGCTTGCCGGCTGAAAAACCTGTTGATAAAGCGTAGAATAGTGCGGATTTTATTTTAGGATTAATATAATTTTAGCATAAGAGCTTTAATCAGATTTAACATCTTTATTTTTATGACACGACATTATCCAGATATTAATTATATAGCTTGCAGCTACAGTTACATTATCAAGATTTAATTATAGCAATTGAAAGCTAACGATAGAATAAAAAAGAGAGCTAATGAACAATTTTTACAGACATATTAATTTTCAGCAAGAAAACCTGAAATTGGAGATGAGAGTGCCGCTAGTCAATCAGTGGCCGCTGTTATAATGATGGTGTTTCAGTATTCCAATAATCCAGGTACTATATATATACGTGTATTATAAGGAAAAGTATAAAATTAATATAAGTATTTAATTTATAATATATTAGTTTAGAATTGTCGAATTAGATAATTAATTCGTGCTAGTACCTCACGCGCTTTTCTAAGATCATTCGTTATATACAAAAATGTGTCTGTGCAAATAAAAATATTAAATTTGTAGACATGTGAATATTATACGAAAGAGAAACGTTCTCTCTTTTCCAGCGCATCACTGTCAATTGCTGGAGTGTTTGATGGCCCTGAAGCCAGGAGTCGTGAAAGACATACTTTGCGTTATCGCTTATGGCACCGCGTCAGCGAGAGCGTCAGCTGCGAAATTGCTATTCTATTACTGGCCTTCGTTTAACCCAAATCTATTCGACCGCCGCGCGGTATTGGTAAAATTTGCTAGTGAGTAAATATATAATTAATAATTATTAAAGATAATGCATTATTCGTACATATATCTCTTGCGAGCAAGATAGCTAACAATTCCCGAGATACGATGTGCAAAACTACGTTTCAGATGATTTTACCCCCTTCGTATGCCAACGGGATAGCTGTCCGAATGCCGGCAATGCGGAAGCAGCAAAAGTCTGTTACAATCACCACATTTCCATCACGTACGCCGTTGAATCTCCGCCTCCTCTTTATCTTTGTATCGAATGCGCGAACGAGATCCATCGAGATCATCCGAATCAAATGTTTAACGACATTTTGCATCCGATGCAACAGGTGTCCATGGTCTGCGAGAACAAAGTGAGCGCGTCGGGTCCGAGAGAATTCGCTTAAGTACTTAAAAAATTTGATTTGATATTTTTATTTTTTGCCTTTCGATCAGAACTGCAGAGGGACGGACAAGTCGGCTATCAGCGTTTGCTTTTCGACGGAATGCGCAAGTTACAATGGAAATCATCCTATAAGATACTGTCAGCAGTGTCACAGTATCCGTCATAACAACCGTCGTGGCGGTGATCACGTTTATCACACGGCACTTCCACACATCTCGCAGCTAGACCCGCAAGCGCAAACCTATATGGTTCAAGCGATTGTCAGGTAAGCTATCATAATCGTCAGTGATAACTGCAAGCTCAGCTAGACACGATATCTTTGTCTTACAGTTTACTCAGAGAAGCTGAACCGATAAGTATCGATAGCAATCGGGACACAACAGATATAAGTGCTAGTACTAGCAATAAGGCTGGCATGGGATTCGTAGGAAGTAGCAGTGCCGGGAGCGGTGCTGGCGGTATCGGCAGTACATTCGGTCATTGCGACCCTACAAGTCTGGAGGAACGACAACTCCTCGGCAGATATGGCGTATGGCTGCTAGTGGGACTTTGTACCCCTAACGAGGATACCCCGGTTGAAATACTGGGCCGTTTATTATCAATGTTATTTCATTGGTTTCATATCACTGCCTACTGTTTCGATGGTATTGAAAAAAGACTTATACACCTTATCTTTTCTGTTGGTAATTTAACACTTTGCATATATACACTTTACTCAAGTAGACGTAGAGAGCCAGACGTAGGTAGTAGCGTGGTATGTCGGCTAAATATGTTGCAATATTTACAAGATGTAAGCATCCTCTGTATACACACTGTAAATATGTGAAATGTATGTTGTCAGCCTCCATATTTGTCTCCAGAGAAATATGTTGATATACGAATATATCTGTTTCCTAAATTAAGCCAAAATATGCCTGAGATATTTAGCCGAATTTAATCTATTCTATCGTACAAATTAAATGAATAGAAAATATTGATTCGAGACCTTATTGATAAAAATTGCATGCAATGTATTAAATATATCAGCACACAACTCGACACATATTTGAAATTTGCACTTATTGTTAAATGTCGAATACTTGGAAAAATGTAGCCTTCCCATTACTTGCATGCCAGAAATTCGGGAAACGATAAATGTCAAATCTGTGTTCCAATCGTATTATGTGTCGCTAGATTGATAATGTTTAACGATAAATCACAATAGTATTCCTGAATCAATTTTAATATTTTCACCTTCTCACGATCAATTTCTCAATCGATCGAAAATATTTCAGGTCAAGCGGAAAGCGCGCTTGAGAAGTTAAAAACGGAGTACGTTTGCGAGTGGCTGTCGGAAGTTATGAAAACCCATTACGAAGTATTTATTTCCTGCCTCCTACCACATCCTGCAGACTATGTCAGAGTCGGAGGTCATTGGTAAGGAAGAGACTCGCTTTTTTACGAAATAAATAAAATCTTTACACAATTTATATAATTAAAATTATAATATGTGAACCCCTTATGATAAATGATTGCATCATTGCGATTACGATTAAATTACGTTAACATAATTGATATTACTTGTAATTTTGTCGAAAGGGAAACCTTGGCTTCACGGAC